TTACCAACATCTGGTGAAAATTTCATGTCATTAGCACCTCTAGTAATATATTTACTRAGAAAAATGGTGACGTGTTCAATACTTATTTTACCCGCTGTATATCTGCATGCCACTTTATAAAACTCATGCTTTTAAATACCCTGTAGGTACCTCTGTGAGTAGAAGTACAGATATGTATTCTGTAATTACCTGTTATGTAAAATTGTTAGTCCAGTGAGATCATGTTTCTCTTTCCATAAATCATTTTAATAAATGGTTGAAATGAAACGAGTTTAAATAGTTTCATCAAAATGCTGCCTGTCTGAGTGGACTTCGTGAATTTGCAGATAAATGACGTGAATCTGATGAAACTTGATGTATTTACTGACGTCTCCTCCTGAAGTCTCAGTTTTCAGACTCTCAGTCACTCATCTCTTCCTCACTGTAAGTCTGTTCCTTCAGATGGACCTGTGGGTCAGCGAGCCCGAGGGTCCGGTCTGCAGACAGATTAACGGGTCCGGTACTCTGACTCTGAAGGACTGTAGCTTCAGGAGCAGAGAGAGGAACATATAAAAGCTTTTATGAAGTGTCAGAGTGTTAAAATAAAAAATGTTTATTTCTCGTCATCAGTCGTAGACAAACACGCCTCTGACTGGAGGAGCTGCAGTCCTGCTATCTGAATGATTTTATTAATAATCGGCTGATAACAAGTTTTCAAAGTGTGAGACTCCGTCCCCTCCCCCTCTCCGTCTGGGACGCTTTCCCAGAATTCCTTCTGTTTGTTTGCTCTGTGTTTTAATTAGAGCTGCTGATTAATGAGGTGTTTGTTAACACCTGCTTAACGAGGTCACAGGAAGCTGCTGAACACAGACAGGAAACCATTAGTAGAGTTCAACAATTAAAGAAACCCCCCGGAACCAAAGACGGTCCAACAGGTGAACTGGCTCTGACTGGATCACCAGGGACCAACAGGTCCACTTGTTGTCTGGTTCTGTTCAGATTTATTGATCTTATATTTAATATATCTATTCAACTCTTTTGGACCACTTTCAGAACAGAATCTGACCTGAAACAACAGAAACAGAAAGTTCTGGTTCTGATGGTCGAAGCTGAGGCTCGTTAGAACCACACTGTTTCCTTCACATGAAACTGAAGTCTCTTCAAAATAAAAGCCCAGTTTTTCACCAAAAAGGATGATTTAAACCATTCAGGTCCAAGCTGCTGCCATCTGTCTCCCACCTCTACCTGTCTCCCACCTCTACCTGTCTCACTCCTCCACCTGTCTCACTCCTCCACCTGTCTCTCTCCTCCACATAACTTACTCCTCCACCTGTCTCACTCCTCCACCTGTCACACTCCTCCACATATCTCACTCCCCCACCTGTCTCACTCCACCTGTCGCTCTCATCCACATATCTCACTCCTCCACCTGTTTCACTCCTCCACTTATCTCTCTCCCCCACCTGTCTCACTCCCCCACCTGTCTCACTCCACCTGTCGCTCTCATCCACATATCTCACTCCTCCACCTGTTTCACTCCTCCACTTGTCTCTCTCCCCCACCTGTCTCACTCCACCTGTCGCTCTCCTCCACATATCTCACTCCTCCACCTGTCTCACTCCACCTGTTTCACTCCTCCACCTATCTCTCTCCACCTGTCTCACTCCTCCACCTGTCTCACTCCCCCACCTGTCTCACTCCCCCACCTGTCTCACTCCACCTGTTTCACTCCTCCACCTGTCTCACTCCACCTGTCTCACTCCTCCACCTGTCTCACTCCCCCACCTGTCTCACTCCACCTGTTTCACTCCTCCACCTGTCTCACTCCTCCACCTGTCTCACTCCCCCACCTGTCTCACTCCACCTGCCTCACTCCTCCACCTGTCTCTCTCCTCCACCTGTCTCACTCCTCCACCTGTCTCTCTCCCCACCTGTCTCTCTCCTCCACATATCTCACTCCTCCACCTGTCTCACTCCTCCACCTGTCTCACTCCCCCACCTGTCTCACTCCACCTGCCTCACTCCTCCACCTGTCTCTCTCCCCTACCTGTCTCACTCCTCCACCTGTCTCTCTCCCCACCTGTCTCTCTCCTCCACATATCTCACTCCTCCACCAGTCTCTCTCCCCCACCTGTCTCTCTCCTCCACATATCTCACTCCTCCACCAGTCTCTCTCCCCCACCTGTCTCATTCCCCCACCTGTCTCACTCCTCCACCTGTCTCTCTCCTCTACCTGTCTTTCTCCTCCACCTGTCTTCCACCTCTACCTGTCTGTCACACTCACCTGTCTCTCTCATACACCTGTCTCTCTCCTCCACCGTTCTTTCTTCTCCACCTGTCTTCCACGTCTACATGTCTGCCACCTCCACCTGTCTCTCTCCTCTACCTGTCTCACTCCTCCACCTGTCTGCCACCTCCACCTGTCTCACTCCTCCATCAGTCTGCCACCTCCACCTGTCTCTCTTCCCACCTGTCTCACTCCTCCACCTGTCTCTCTCCTCCACCTGTCTCTCTTCCCACCTGTCTTTCTCGTCCACCTGTCTTCAACCTCTACCTGTCTGTCACCTCCACCTGCCTCTCTCATACACCTGTCTCTCTCCTCTACCTGTCTCTCTCCCCCACCTGTCTTCAACCTCTACCTGTCTGTCACACTCACCTGTCTCCTCCACCTGTCTCTCTCCTCCACCGTTCTTTCTTCTCCACCTGTCTTCCACCTCTACATGTCTGCCACCTCCACCTGCCTCTCTCATACACCTGTCTCTCTCCTCTACCTGTCTTCCACCTCTACCTGTGTGACACCTCCACCTGTCTCACTCCTCCACCTGTCTCACTCCTCCACCTGTCTCACCCCTCCACCTGTCTCTCTCCCCCACCTGTCTTCCACCTCTACCTGTGTGACACCTCCACCTGTCTCACTCCTCCACCTGTCTCACTCCTCCACCTGTCTCACTCCACCACCTGTCTCTCTCCTCCACCTGTATCTCTCCTGATTTTTTCTCTGTTGTTGATGTTTTGTTCTTTCATTTCTGTGTTTTTTTAATTTTCAGGTGTTTTCTTTCACCTTTGCTCACTTTCTATCTCCTAATGATCTTTTTAATTGACTCTTGGATCATTTGTTTCTCATTTTTCTCCTCATTGGCTGATATAAAGTTTATAAACACTAAATGTGGTTTTACAACAAACTGAAACCTGTGAGATCTGAGGCTACATTTCATTTTTAAACACATCTAAAACTTTGTGTTTTTTGTTTTATTCTTGCTGTAATTTGTCTCTGAGTGTCTGAAAACATCTCAAATAAAGAACACTCAGACCGAGCTCTTAGAAACGCACTTCAACAAACCAAACACTGGCTTATTTTCTGTAAAACAAGGTTTTAATTTGGTAACAAAGTGCTGCTCTGTGGGGCCGAACAGGCCACTCATAAACAAACAGCTCACAGATATTTGCATAAGAACAGATCCTGAGTGTTGCTGCAGATAATTAGCTTTAAAAAACAGTCATGTTTCAACAGAACCGCTCCACGGGTCGAGAACGCTTCAAAATGTCACTCAGCAAACTCTGAAAAGGTTAACCAGCGGCGCATAAATCTTCTGCTCGTTTACAGCAAATTAGCTTCATGTTAATTTACTGGAGAGGAAAAAATGTTCAAGTTTCTGTAACTTTATTTTCTCAAAAGAAACTTTAAAATAAACGACAAATTAACTTCATTTAACTCTGGTTTTGGTTATTTTATATGCAACGTTTGTATTTTCCTGCAGGTAAATGTAAAATCCTTTTAATAAAACCATGTAAAACCAACAACAACAGAAAGGCTTTTATTTCTTTCTTCTATACCATCATCACTTTTCCTGATTTTTAGATATATTTTTTTATGTATTTCACAGTTTCCAAACATTAAAAAAGTATTTTTGTATGTTTGGTAAC